TAATTAAAAAATATTTTAATACAAACAATGACTGGCATATTATCGAACACTTACTATGTGCCTGGAGTTAAATTATACATAGAATTTTTGTATTAGAATTGGTGAGTAAAAAATATTTTAATACAAATATTTCATAAATAATTTTCTATGGACCCCCAAATCAAGACTATTACTCTGTATGGCAAATTTTAATAATTTGTGTGGACGTTTTCCTCTAACTGTATTTTGAGGTACTACAACAAAGCAAATGTGTTCCACTTATAAGTTAATATCCACACAAAACCTGGAGGTGTCAAACATAATGGAGAAGTGATACCATACCTGGAACTCAGAAATCCCAGGCAAGTTGCTGTCATTTGACTTCTCCAGCTTTTCAGCAGCCGACATGCTCGCAGCTTCAATAAATTCCTTTTCAGTTAGCCTGTTGGGTTTATCTAACACCTAATAAAAATCAGAGCATTTCTGTAACAATTACCAAGGGTGTTTACACTTCAGATATATCAAGAAGCACACCTTACTTACACTTCAAATCATAAAATCCTTCAAATTGATGATATAAATTGGTACTCTTTTCCTCTTCTTCTTCAAAAACACTCAACAGAACATTTGTTTAAGCAGCCATTCCTTTGGGACACATACACTAGATATGACCCAATTTCATTTACACAGAACTTCAGTGACTCATCTAAGGCACAAAGCAGAGACTCTGACAGCTCTAATACTAATTGTATATGTACAGAATACAAAAGATGTGCTACTTTCAACTTGTATCTTTAATTATGTTCAGTGAAATAAATAATGCCAACCCCCTGCCTCGCAAACGCAAGGTCCCGAGTTCGATCCCCAGTACCAAAAAAAGAAAAAAAGGGCCGAGGATTTAGCTCAGTGGTTTTGCCGCCTGCTGCGCAAGCGCAAGGACCTGAGTTCGATCCCCTGTACCAAAAAAAAAAGCCAAAATTTCATTAAGGTCTATTCCTAATTAATGCAATAGAAAATTCTACATATGCTATTTTTATAAATTATAAAAATCCTATTGCTTTCAGATAATTTTAAAATGTAAGTTTCATTGTTTGAGACTAGCCCTGTTTCTTTTCTCTGATTTATTTCAATACAAAGTGAGGGATTTGGAGTTATGGACAAATCTAAGTTTATGTGAAATTTACCTATTTGCTGGAAAGATGGAGATATATATATATATATAAAACCAACAATGTTTTCAGTCTTGGCATTCTCATTTATACAACAGGATTCATAATATTCACTGTAGAATGTAGTTTTGACAATTAAGAGAGTCAACAGACCTGAAAATATCTAGGATAATGCATGACAATTTTTTTTCTGTATTCCTTATCAATCTATTACAGTAAAACACCTGAAGAAAATTTACCAGTTCATGGGGGAAATATAAAAACAAAGAGAATAAAATGTATTTCTGGACTGCATATAATTTCCATAATGTCATTTAAATTAAAGGCTTAATCTATATATTAAAATAGTAAAGCACAAATTATTATTATTATTATTATTATTAGGGGGTTTTTTTTGGTACTGAGGATTGAACTCAGGACCTTGCGCTTGCCAGGTAGGGGTGGCACTGCTAAGCTACATCCCTGGATTTTTTTTAAGTTTTTGGACACAGGTTCTCACTGTGTAGTTCAGATTGGGCTTAAACTCTCAAAGTAACCTAGGCTGGCCTCAAATTTGCAGTGATCCTTCTGCCACAGCTTACCAAGTGCTGGGATTATAGGAGTGTGTCACCATGCCTGGCCATAAAGCACAAATTAGAAAACCGCTACTCTTAAACTGGGCATGGTGCATTTCATTAATTAAGTGCTTCTATATACAAACAAGAAAAGTACTTTAATTAAACAGAAGCTCATGGAGATGATGAGAGTGCACCTTATTACCTCAAATTATAACCCCGGAGACTGAAATGCTAGTTCCCCGGCCCAAGTCACTAGTGAATCCTGATGGAAAGGGCACCTGAACTTCCTCACACTGGCCACTGGTACAGTCACAGTGACGATCTCTATGGAGGTGTGGGAGAGTAAAATACCTCACCCCAAACACACTTCTTTGCCATATTTTGACTTGGTGATTCAGAGGACCTGCAGACAAATAAGTGCTCTGAAAAGCTGTCCTCTTACAAAACAGAAATTTACATACATAGCTACACGAGATAATATAAAACGTATAGATAGCAGCTTTTCTCTGAGATCTCCATCTGCCTAGGAAAGACTCTTCACCTCTCAGGCAGAGAGGCCACAGCTGGCTGTGTGCATAATCAGGAAGGTTTTGATCCAGAATTTCCCTCCTGAACCTCCCGTGGCTTGTGAGGCTACCTCATCCCTTCAGGAGGCCCAAGCCCTATTCTTCTGTAGGTATTACAGGAGGTAGTATATAAACTTCGGCCATCTAGTCGTCTCCTTGATGTCACGTACTAAAATTGTCACGCCTTTGGAAGGAAAACAGAACATTTCAAACTTCCCTTATTCCACAGCCACTGAGGGGGTCTACATAGCTCATTCCCAGCCCCTGCCCATAAACAGTGTTAAAAAGGCCAGGTGTGATGTGGCCAAGGCAGGAGGGTTGTCAATTTAAGGCCAGCCTTGGCAACTCAGCAGCACCTTATCTCAACAAGGAGAAAGGGACAGGAGTGAGCTTGGTGGTGGAACACTCCTGGGCTCCTTCCCTAGTTTAAAAAGAGTTCCCAGCTAGCCTGGATTACACAGTGAGACCCTGTCTCAAAACAGAAACAAAAACAACCTGGCATTCTAGATCCCCTCAAATGTCTAAGAACGTTCCAATGATATTAAGTCATCACAATGAAAGTTTTTTCCTCTCCGAAGCAGAGAACCAGCTGCCCTTGAATATCCTGTATATTCAGGTGCTATCCGTGCTGGCTGAAAAGTCAAAACTATCAAAGACAGAAGAAAGCACTGGACACAGTGGTGCACGCCTGTCATCCCAGCCACATGGGAGGCTGAGACAGAAGGAGTCCAAGTTCAAAGGCAGCTTTGCCAATTTAGCAAGGTGCTATCTCAAAATACAAAAAGGGCTAAGGATGTGGCCCTGTCGTAGAGTGCCCCTGGGTTCGATCCTCACAGTGGGAGAGAGGGAGGAACAAGAAGAAGTGAATGAGACTGTAAGTAACAGTGGTGGACAAGAAAAAGAGTAACCAAGGAGAACACATGAAATCACCAATTCCTCAAATTTGAAACTTCTGAGGATTAGAAACACGAGGTCCATCTTTTCAACATGTTTTGAGATGCTGAGAAGTTAGGAGTGAAAATGAAGAGTAGCTATCCATTTGAGAAAATCAATTAACTTCTGAGACGTTAATATGTTGTAGAATGGAAACATACCGACCATATGGCACACAATTTCTGTATGAATAAGAGAAAATCACTTAGTATCCAGAACCAAATAGTCAAATTTTAGGTCTCTTGCGTATGCCCACAACCAACAAATGCAAAATCTAAAACATCTTCCCATCTGAATATTTACTGGTTATGGTCAAGATGAGCAAGATGAGCAGCAGTAGTAATACTATCAGAGCATAACTTACACAAAATATTTCTATAAGAAAACTGCTCACTTGCTTTCGTAGCTATCTTCAAGGTGTGGTTACTTAAAATTCAAGTTTTTAAATGCAGCAGTTAGACCATCAGTATGACATAAATAATAAAAGCATTTGTGCTAGACAGTCCATCTTACTTTGCAATTCTTTAAACTGGTTTTAGAAAATTAACAAACCTTTGACGAAGGACCTGCTGAAGAACTTGAGGGTGAAGTGTCTCTTGATGTTTTCAAAGACTGGACTTGTCTCTCTTTACCTATGTAAGAAAACAGAAGATGTAATTTCCTAGCTCATTGTTTTCAGTTAAGTGACTTGGTAACTGAATTCATGAGGGGATTCATATACTCATTCCAGTACTGAAACTTTCTATTACATTATTAAATTAATTGATATCTAAAACCACCTCTCTAAGAGGCTGACTGGAAGTCAGAATTAAATGATGTCATGTACACCAGCCCTAGTCCACATCAAAGTCAGCTAACAAACAGGAAGCCCAGAAACGCACTGGGAAAGGCAAAGATGTGTTTGAAAATGAATGCACCATCTTCTGTTTCTAAATGGCAATTTCAGTATCTCATAATATAAACACATGGTTAGATATTTCACTTACTGCATATACCTACAAACAGAACTAATTAAGGGATAGCTCAAGGAGAGTTGTATATAGGAAATTTAGCACATACTTCGGCAATGTTTATTCAAGTAAAAAAATAAAATTTTAAAACTACATTTAAAAAAAATACATTTAGAGCATTAATCCAGTGCCCACCTCTAATGAATCCTAAATATTTGTAAAATTGTTTAAAATAAACCACTGAGATAGTCACCAACCTTCATCTTTAAAGATTACTTACATATCGTTGAATGTACACTTTTTTTTTTGTTTGAGACAGAGTCTCTCTCTGTAGTTCAGACTGGCCTTGAACTCACTGTACAGTGCCAGGCTGGCCTTCACTTGAGGTGGTTCTCCTGCCTCAGCCTCCCAAGAGCTGGGATTACAGGCATGTACCACCACCATCCCAGAAACTGTATATATACCATATTTAAGAAATAGGTTTAAATAGAATCTTAAAAATTAGTAAAGTTGAGCTGCTACTGATAGAAAAACATCTCATTAAATTTTCACATACAATTATCTGCTCTTGACTGTTGAGAGAGAGACAGACAGACAGACAGAAGTGGCACTAAATTTGAAGCCATACAGAGGCTGGTCAAGACCAGACAGTGAGTTAAAGCCAGCACAGTAGTCAAGAACAAAAGCAGAGAGAAACTTCCTTGAAACTAAGGCAAAGCCAGCTTCTGTCAGCTCTTTCTTATCACAGCCAAGATAGCTAAGCAAGGGCCTAGAGACTCAAAGGCTGCTAAGCGCCTATGGCAGTGGTCACACCTTTTAGGTCCTGAAGACCCGAAGGCTCTCTCTAGACCAGTGCTTCTCAAGCAGGGAGCTTTCTTCCTCCTACCCACAAACACCCGGAAATGTGTGAAGACAACCGTAATGGTTATAAGTGAGAGAGTCACTGACAGTGGCCAGGGACGCTGCTAAACACCCTGTTACGGAGGACAGCTGCCCACCATGAATCATCCAGCCTCATCCAACCTCAAATGAAGCTCTGCTCCAGGCTGGGTAAAAGACAACCTAGAATTTTATGGTACACCAACCTCGGTACCACAAGAGGCTTCTACATCAAGCAGATTAAAAAATTCCTGCAGACCTTGACAAGCAAAAGAAACACGATATAAACCATCATTATATCCCCAAATGGCCAAAAACAAATTTTTTTTTTTTTGGTACTGGGGATTGAACTCAGATCTCTGCGCTTGCGAGGCAGGCGGCGGAACCACTGAGCTAAATCCCTGGCCCCAAAAACAATTTATTTAGTTATTCCTTACTGCATTTCCACTGCACATGGGAAATTTAACATTGTATTGTGACAAGTGTAGTCTATTCCACTACACCAAAAGTTCCTAAATGAACAATAACAATTTTATTCAGTTTCAAAATAGCCATGACCTTAAAGACAAAAGTAGGTACTCAATGTGAGATAAAGATAAATCCTATTTTACTACCCTTCAGATCTAATGACCTAACTCTTCATCCTATTTAAATACTAAAAAGTCCCTGAAAGAAGACCAAGTGCTGGACCAATCAGCACAGCAGACTATGCTAACTACGTAAATAACTGCAGGTTCAATTTTAGCATTCATCTGCTAAACACGAGGGAGGAATTCTGTCACAAGTACTGTAGCTATAAATCTCTTGCTTAGTGTTTACAAACAGGACATCTGTTCAACAGCTATGCCATTCATGCTCCCCAAGTGTAATCTTAGGACTTGATTTCACAGGCTCAAAAGCTTATTTAAGCAGGTATCAATCAATCTCAGTGTGCAAAGGCAAAGGACACTGAAGGAAAGGGCAAGCAGTTTATTACAGATCCACATACATTCATTTATACCTTTACAAATGGGAGGCCTAGGCAAGATGCAAATGACAAAGAAAAAGATGATAAAGATGGCAGCAGAAAGAGCTTAGAAAAGGAAGTACAGATTCCTTGATTCTATCTTGCCAAGGGCCTATTTTTCCTGCAGATCTCAGCCTGCTGCAGAGTGACTATTCCTGACCATGAATGGTTAGCCCACATAACAAAAACCATGTATCGCCCCAAATCTTACTACCTGATCTACTGCTGTACTGCTACCCAACTCTCATGACAACAGACTAATGGAGTACTTACATACTTTCCCCATGTTTATGACCTCCACCAATTCAAGCCTCCCAACCCTTCAAAAATCCCAAATCAGAATCTAGCTCAAAACTCACCTCTTTCTGGCTTTCCTTCATTCTGCCGCTTGGAGCAGGCACCGGGACGCACAGGCTCTAGGGAAAGTTGGGCAGGGAGGAATTAACAGCAGGACCTCTGCACCCAGCACAAGTGAGGTAAGAACCCAGAAGTGATGAAAAGTGGGATTTCTGAGCATTTGCTGGTGACGCTAAAGTTGTTGCTACCACGTACTTTTGAGATCTGTGGGCACACTGCTAACTGAGCAGCTGTCCCTAGGAGCTCAAGCTGCTCTGTCAGGGTGATAGAGCAGAAAGAACGTATGTGCTGAAAACAGTACAAGATGGACACACTACTTAATTTGATGAGTTTAGTTAAGCAGAACCAGGCTTCCGTGTTCCTTCATCTCATTCTGCTGGTGCTGAGATTAGTACCAGAATGCCTCTAGTTTGTCGCGTGCCTGTACTCGATGTCCCTTGAGTGATCATTTTGTTAATTAGTAATTTTGCTCTCACTTCCTGGTATTCTGATTAAAAGCTGCACTGGCCTCACTCTAGGACTGCTTTCCAACCTTTGGAGCAGTCCTGGTCTCTCAGCATTCTTGCAATCTCTGACTGAGTAATTCGTTCTGTTCATCTCCAGCATCCCAGGTAGGCATTCTGCCACAAAGCTGGACTACCTGAGCAAATACCACTGAAGATGCATCACAACAGAAAAGGAGAAATTTCCACTTAAGGTGCAGAAGACCAAATACCATCCCCAAAGTACACTCCTTTGGCATACTGAGATGACTACTGAAGAAGAGTTTTGAAAAACTGTTTTTATAAAAAGAAATTTAAGGCGGATGCAAAAAGAGCTTTCTCCAAGTCTCCTTAATGTGCCTGAAAATGGATCCAGGAAGGAGCATACCACAAGAAAAGCAACCAGAGATTCAGCACCAACCAGAGACTGTTTCAGGTTGTCAGCTACTCTTCTGAGACCAGCTCAGATTACTGGAGACTTTACCTACATAATGAGAAAATCATTTATTTGCCATGCATATCTCCTTCACCCTCCCGTAGATGACTGACACCTCCACACCAGAAGCCCCGGGTTCTATTCCAATGTGATATAAAAAATTCAACCATCTGGCCCTTCTTTGTGAAACTTCTACGTGGACACATTTAATAAATTTTAATGTCATTTCTCCTGTTTATCTGGCTACTGTCTACTTCAGAGTTACGATTACTGAAACATCAGAGGGTTGAAGGAAAATTTGTAAACTCCCTACAAAAGTCAGAGGCTAAATTGGAAGCATCGGAGAAAAGTGTGTAAGGCAAGGACCACATTTTATTCATCACCTTCCATAAAGTTCACATTCAAAAGACTAGCAGGGGTGTGGGATTTAGCTCAGTGGTTTCATCGCCTGCCCTGCAAACTCAAGGACCAGAGTTCGATCCCTGGTACCAAAAAAAAGAAAAGAAAAGAAAAGACTGGTAAAGGAGACACCCATATCCACATCCACACAAGTCAAGCCTGAAACATGGCAGGGTGTGGTGGCAAATCCCTATAATTCCAATCTACTCAGGAGGCAGAAGCAGAAGGATTGCAAATTCAAGGCCAGCCTGGTCTGAAAAAATTAAAAGAGGAACAGAGAAGGAGAAAGAGGGAAGAGAGAATTACTAAAAATCAAAAAGAACACTGGCAAAGTTTTCAAATATGCATTTTGACTTGTTCTCAACAAACTGCCTATGACAATGGACTTGGAGCTGCACATTTACAAACCCAGCATTCAGGAGGATTCCAAGTTTGAGTCTTGCTTAGGGAATTTAATGAGAAGCTGTCTCAAAATTTTTTTAAAAAGGGGTGCAGGGAGCTGGTATGTAGCTCAGTACAAAAGCCCTGGGTTCAATTCCCAATATGAAAGGAAGGAGGAAGCTGAAATATGCTGGTCAGGGTGCCCTAATATTTTTCTAATGGGACCAAATGTCAAAACATTTCATTCAAGTCTTTTTAGCATAGATCCTAAAGTGCCAGTTTATTTTTATTTTTTTCTTAAAAAAACAAACATTTCCTAAACTCTTTTGGCATTGTTAAGCAATTTCCCTAGAGATTGGTTTTAAATACTGCCATCCTACTTTTGCAATAATTTTGTTATGGACCCAACATTCTTTTCTTTGGCACTGGGCAGTTTTTGTTCCTCTTGAGCAGTGGATTTGCTACGTTACATACATTATGAACACTATTGCTGTTGCTTTTCGCTCTGCTTTGGCCAAACTTTTAGTTCACCTATAGCAGCCGTCTAAAACATTATGATAGGGCCGGGGATTTAGCTCAGTGGTTTCGCCCCCTGCCTTGCAAGCGGAAGGTCCCGAGTTCAATGCCCGGTACCCCCCCCAAAAAACCCCCCAAAAATCACGTTATGATAGGCATTTATTTCATGCATTAACTTTATTCTCACATTTGTCTTCCCATTCTTATTCCTTTTTACAGAAATTCTTCATCCATGTACTTAGTCCTGTTTTATTAAGTGTTTACTTCATTAAACTACCTCAAATTCTTTTTTGAACCAAGCCAAAAGATAAAAGTAGTGATATTTCACAGATGTACACTAGATATTTCATCATTTCATATTAGCTATAAGAGTGGACTGTATGTATCCATCTCTTCCAAACTTTGTGTTGTTACTCCAAGTTGGTGGTATGAAATAAACCCTGACGAAACAGTATTTACTCCACTGACATCAGCAAACACAACACCCCCATTTACTAACACACCACTGGTTATGTATCTATTAATTCTGATTCCAAATTTCAGAGATACTGAAATTATTAACACATTTATTACAGATTCCCATCCATATTGCCCTGAGTGGGTAGATTAATTAATTTCCTAACAGACAAGTAAAACTACCCAGCAGAATTAAAGGATCTGGAACAATTATTTAAGTAGGTAGTTTCAATGCACTAAATTTTGGGTTTGCTTTTTTTTTTTTTTTTTTTAAAACAACCCCACTGTGCTTAAACTTATGCCAGTTTTCATTGGTCCACTCACATGTAAACCAACAGTCTCACGCTTGTCAGCTATGACAGCATTTTAGTGATGTATAAACAAGATTTTCGAAATATTTTGGCGTTTCATTTCCATGCTTGTGTTAGCTTTCCTCACCGTGACAAAATGCCTGAGATAACAGCTTACAAGGAGCAAAGGATCATGTTGGCTCACAGTTTTGGAGGCTCCAGTCCTGGTCACTTGGCTCCACAGCTTTGAGCATGCAGGGACAGAGTATGTCATGGAAAAAGCTGGCACATGATCACGGTAGCAATGCAGTGCACGGCAGCAGAGAGAACAGCAAGGGGCTAGGGTCCTCATCTCTCCTTTGAGGGCAGGCCCCTAACGATCCAACTTCTCCAACTAAACCCTACCTCTTACAGGCTTCACCATCTTCCAATAATGCCACAGACTCAGGAGCACATCTGTAACACATTTCAGACCCCAATGCCTTTCTGTTTTAGGGTTAGTCCCCCTATATCTTTCTCTCTCTTCAGTAGGTTGAAAGTATTCCTCGTAACCTCAATACTTTTTGCTGTACTATTTTTACATGGCTCTATCCAATGCCATGAATATAAATGTCTCTCACATCTGTCTTTTTCACTTGCCATTCGACATTCTGTTAGGATGCTACTCCTCAGCTAGTTCACCGTTATCTCAAATTCATCTCATACATGACCTCAGAAAGTAAACACTAATTTTCTATTTGGGACTAAGGTAAAAAAGGCATTCCTACCTTTCCTGTGACTTGGTAAAGAAAATGAGTTCTAAATTAGGATGAAGGAATGAAACCAGGAATGAAAAATTGTGAAAGTAGCACAACAGAAACCAGAATTTATACTATTGGTGAGTTAAAGAATATATGAGGAAGAAGAAAAAAACAAAGGATATCTAAGATGAATTCTGTCTTTAATTAACTTACAATTTTCCAACTTTATGGTAGTGGAATAACCATACACATTCAGTGGAAACTGTATATTATGGCTTGTGTCTAGATGTTCACCCAAAACCTCATGCAGTCATAGGTGGGGCTTTTCAGAGGTGGCTGGATCTAGGGTGTGTGATGCTGAGATTAAGTGTGTGATGCTGGGATTAAGGATATGTGGTAACTAAATTAGTCCACTGATTGGTTTGGCATAGTTCTGGTGTGGATAATGGGAAGGACCTCCCTGGGTGTGAGTGCTACCCATCCTAAGGGCATGTAGCCTGGACAGACTATAAGAGACAGAAAAAGGGTGGCTGTCATTACTTGTTGGTTGTTACAGCACTGCTTTGCTGTCTTCCTGCCTTCTACCCACCATGAACTATTTCTCCTCTGTCGTGCCCCTTTGTCATGCCACCCTGCCTTGGAACCTCCAACTATCAACCAAAACCTCTAAAAAATATGAGTCAAAATAAACTTTTCCTCCTTTAACTTTGGCATTGGGTATTTTTGTCTCAGCAACAAGAAAAGTAACCTATACTCCTCCATACTTCAAATTCTGAACTTCGATCTCTTCTGGGGCTAATAATATACTCTCAATGCTAAGCAGTGACAGCGAGCCACAGTTCTCAGCCTTCCATACCCATCACAAGGAAAAAGTATAGTCTACTGTGTTGCTAAGCTATGGAGTTCAACTACATTAGGTGTATTAAATGCATTTCTTAACAATATCTGCAACAGGGGCCAGGGATTTAGCTCAGTGGTTCCGCCACCTGCCTCGCAAGCGCAAGGACCCGAGTTTGATCCCTGGTACCAAAAAAACAAAACAAAACAAAAGAACAATATCTGCAACTTATGATGGGGCTCATAAGGATGCAGCCACATTGTAAGTGAAGGAACTGGTTCCACATATCAGTACAAACTTTTTACCACTGAGGTGAAACCAAAAACTGGAGAAGAAAGCATGTTAAGATTCACAGTATTTGGTGACTCTCTGAATGTAGCTGCTAACTATAAAGCTAATATAATATTTCAAAATCTACTTTCTTCCAGATATTTTTTTTCCTGCTTAAAGCAAGGATAAAGTTAATCCATATCATTCAACCCTATCAAGTGCTATTAATTACTGATCATTCATAAAATAAA